TTTGTTGCGGACCAAACGCGACGCCTCTTGAGCTGCAAACCAATGGTCAACACAATTGAGTCCATCCGCAAGAACTGACTCCATGTCTACCCCTAATCCCAGCCCCTGTGAACCCAACGCACAGAATAACCTAGCTACATAATTGTGTCAAAACAAACCTGTATTTCCTTCCAACCAATACTGATATATATCGGGATCTATGAGTGTATTGTTTCCGATAAACACATCCACTTCTGTGAACATCATTTTGATGACGATTATCACCAAAACTAATCCTAATTGCAATTAATGGCAAATATTTGTTCACTAAATCAAAGCTTTTCAGTGTTTTCACAAGAATTCAAGCCTTTTATAACATTACACTTAATATGCGGTCGGATGTGAGCTGTGGTCGGCTTTTGGAAAGTTTTATAAACTTATAAATTGTATTTTTTTATATAGTTTTGCGTACAATTAAAGTGCAATTAAAAATCTAAACAATTTTAATGTCCTTAATTAGTATACCATTAAAATGATAACTAAAATAAGACTTTAACGACATTAATATAAATACAAACTACATTTGAGGGGCTTTCGTGTGCAACAGTTCACAGTATATGTGAACAGATTTTTAGAGCCAAAACACAAGTCAAACGCAAACTATGTTTCAATTGAATGACCGAAATATACAACAATTAACTCATTGTCGCCACAATTATCACTGAATTGAGTCCAAAGCTGACCCCAGTATTATATTTGCAATACATTTGAATGCCATACGAGTGAGACATACCACACGTGGTGGACCCAAATGGTAAACAAAGACTGAGTGGCGATGTCTGGAGCGCATCCAAACTCCGGACCCAATGGGATGTACTCTTCGCGCGGAATCGGTCGTCAGGCCGTCGGAGGGAGACATTCAGACCCCGACCGCAATCGGGGTCAGTATCAGAGCTCTCCAGACATTAACTATAGACCCGAAGCCTCCGATTACAACAGAAATGCTAACATTGGAAACGATCGAGACTTTGATCGCAGAGGAGGGGGTCCTCAGCCACCCAACGGTCCGCCCATTGATCGCGAGTTAGACCGAAGAGGCGCTCCCTCTCAGAGTCATCGGGACTTTGATCGCAGACACGACTCATACAGAGATAGAGATCGCGATTACGACCGAAGAGGAGGCGGTCCGTACAGAGACCCTGATTACGATCGAAGACATATCCCTCCAAACGATCGCGACTTTGATCGCAGACCTCCTCCTCAAAGCGATTATCCTCCGGGAGGACCGCGTGGAGGAGGGGGTCCTCCGCCTCCTATCCCACCGATTGATCCAGAATTAGAGCGAAGACCTCCGCCCCCAAGTCATACCAATTATCACATAAAGCCTAACATTTCTAGCGATTATGACAGAAGAGCTGAGTTCACAGGTGGAGGCGGACCTGCGGGTGGCGGTGGCGGTGGCGGTGCACCTCTCCCTCCAAGTGATCGCAAAGATTACTATAGAGACACTCTCGAAGACAACTACAAAGCGTCGCCCACAGATGGATATACACCTCCGCCACCAGCTCTGCCTCCGTCCCGCCATTATAGCCCACCGCCAGCGTCGGCGCCGCCCCCACAACCGCCTCCAAGTTATTCTAGACCCCCACTGACTGGTGGAGGGGGTCCACCACCACCTCAAAGGCCTCCGGCGCAGAGTTCGGTCGCAAACTTCGCTCCTTATGGTGTGGACGAAGACGGAGAGCCCTTGACTAAGGAGGAGATGAAGGAAAGACAATATCAGGAGAGTTTGAAAAATCTGTTCCACGGCGTCAACTCCATCGACGATCTCATCACTGTTTGTATTCATTTAGTTATACTTTTAATTGTTTACTAATTTTGTCGATTTGATGATCAGATCAAAGAGCAGTACAACGCGAAGGAGTCCTCTTTGAAGAGTATTCTGGAGAAGACTGCTGTAAGAGAGGGCGATATCCAGAGAAATAGGAACCGAAATCGAGCCAATTGTAAGGATCCGGAACTTCTGGAGATGAAGAAACTGTCGGAAGACGTGAAACAGAGACTCGAAGAAGTTTGCAAATTTAAAGTGGAAATCGACAAAAGGATTCGCGCCTACAATAAGGCTATAAAGGAGGCGATGGCTAACGACGAGCCAGACGTGAAAGAAGGCAACAGTAAAGTGGGTGAAAGTGTTGATAAGCCGAGCAATTATGAGGCACAGCTCCTCCAGAACTCATTGATCACAACTACTGTTGAAGACGAGGAGAGCGAAGAAGACGAGTTCGAGTACGAGAACTCCACCCGAGAGTACTTCGACGCCGGCTCTCATTGGTGTAGAGATTGTGATAAAATGGTGCCTAAAATATGGCCTTATTTTGAGCACTTGCACTCTCAGAAGCACTGGGAGTCGGCTACCAATGAACTAAAGCCGTGGAGGAAAGTGAAGAGACCTAACATTTCGAAAATCTGTAAGCCTTCAGACCCGATGGGCCCCAAGAAGTCAATTGCTCCGAAGATTAGGACTCCGTTGAAAGGTATGAGATATTAAATTAGTATCAGTGGTACTCTATCACTAATGAATAGCTAATGAGATTTTGTTGCAATAGGCGCTCAGTTTCTCATCCCATTGAAGGGCTTTTATTGTCCTCTTTGTAGTCAATACTTAGCCGATGATCTCATGGCTGAGGAGCATCTGAAGTCAGCCAAACATAATCGGATTTATAATGTAAGTGTTATTTCTATGATTAATTGGTGGTAACGTGATGTCAATCGTTGAAATAGCGGTTCATATGTCTGAACGTGGATTACGAGCATAAGTGGAATGCAGACAAAGGGAAGGCTCTGAACCGACATCAGGTGGCAGAGAGGAAGCGCGTCAAAGACGAGGAACAGNAACAGCACACGGATCCCGACTATTCGTGCGCTTATGTCATCTTAAAGACCGCGAGAAATGATTTGGAGGGACACGGCTTGACATTCACCATAGGAAAGGGAACAAACGTTGGTATGTATTGTTTGTGGGGTTAAAGTCTTAAAATTATTATTTGAATTTGAAACAATTTTATTTAAAAAAATAAACTATAGTTCATATTATGAATCAAGAGTTTCAAGAATTTGTATACAGTATTATGAACTGTGAATAGAAATACAACAGAATAACTTATGTCCATATAAGTTAAGATATTAATTAATGACATTTTTAACCAGTATTTGCAAGTTAGCACTTTTCGTATCTATTCGACAAAAACACTAAAAGTATAATAAAATCAATTAAGCAATAAAATGACTTTAACAAGATTTCTTTAACACAAAATAGATAAAAGTTAATTCTTAAATAAACTTGACATCACAAAATTATAATATTTTGGAATAATGTTGTAATACTTAACATAACGTTAATATAATACAGTATATATTACGGTACTTACGGATTATTATCGTTGATAAAAAAAATAGTGGTGACTGCTGTGCGTGAGCTAGAACATCTAGTTGTGGGTAAAAGGTTGGGCGATATATACAGCAATTTCGGTGAATTCTGGAAATCTCTTGCCTGTCACNATATATACAGCAATTTCGGTGAATTCTGGAAATCTCTTGCCTGTCACTCACAAATCCGTTGGATTGGTCCCGAATGCGGTGCCCTTCATATGGGTACCGGAGCTCTTGTTAACGCTCTGTGGGATCTGTGGGCTAAGATTGAGGGCAAACCCCTTTGGAAACTTCTGTCTGACTTAGAGCCCGAGCAATTGGTTTCTTGTATTGACTTTCGTTATATGTAAGCATTAAACCATTAAATATTAAAAGATGTATTCATTTGAATGATTGATTTATTGTGAAGAACTGATGTCTTAACCAAAGAGGATGCCATCAATATCTTGAAACGGAACAAACAATATAAACAGCAAAGAGGTATTCATTAGATTCACAAGTAATACATGTTATAAAAAGTATTAAAACTTGTGTCAAATGAAACTCAATAGAAGCAGAACTTTTGGAAAAAGGATTCCCGGCTTACACTACAGCGTCAGTTGATTTCGGTTTTCATTTAGTATTTTAGCAGTTCTTCTATAAGACA